GTATCCTGTAGATACTTGCTTGATCTTAATGTACTCTTTTTCCCTACGATTAGGAGCATTTTTCCTAATAGGTTTTTGCTACCTAACTAGGTTTTAACGAGGCACCCACCTTGGGCTGGTCATATCCTTGATGACGTCCTGTAGACGTTTCTTTTGACTTTGCATTTCTAATACATTTTTCCTTAGACTATGGATTTTGTCCCTACTTGGGTTTTTGCCATAGCCTTAGGGTTTTTTTTAGTGAGACTTACTACTTATGCAAGTTCCTACCTTATTGAGAATAAGCGTTGTTCCTTGGAATCAGTGTCGACGAGTCGACTTCCTCAACTTTTGCATGATGCTGAATCTACCTTGAGTATTTACACACTCAAGGGGGAGTGTTGTGAACATTCCTAGTTTAAGTATGATTGTGTAAATCCTAGATTAGATTTGATTCTAGTTATCCTTTCCTATTACAACTTGTATTACTTGGAGAAGAAGGAATATATTCTCTCCTTTTACTATTATAAATAAAGGCATAATGTAGGAGGGATAACAACACACATTCCCCTACAATTCTACAAACTCACATCTCTATTCCCTTTCTCCCTCTGCCGCCAGCCCTATTCCTTTGTCAGATAAATATAGATCACAACAAAAAAAAAATGTAAATATACATTTTATTTACATATTTCGACAAAGACAATTTGCATGCGCCATTGAAGAGCTCTCCGGCCAAGAAAAAATGAAAAATTCTTATTTTAAGGTATGTTCCATCTCTTAGTAGAGATGCTTTTAAATCTTGATTAATGATATAATAATCAAGATCTAATGATTTAAAATTTCAAAGTATACTCCAAAGCACCATAAAATTTTCGTTTTAGTATAGCTTTGTGGGTTGCCATTTCCATGTTTTTGGTTGGCGATGTTTAAGAATGTAGTTCCCATGCAGCCCATTCTGTTGAATTTCGATCCCATCTGGATTCTTTATGAGGATTCTAAGGAGGACTCTCATATCCTATCCGTTCACTGTACATCGTATGGTCAGAAATTATTTTGAATTTTTGTTGAACATTAAACACAAACAGTACCTAACGAAAGCTGATTTCACGATGTACCATAAATAGATAAGATGTGAGAATCCTTAGAATCCTCACAAAGAGAATCCGGAAAGGATCTTGATCCCATTCTGTTGCCTGCTTCTATATATGACTAATATCTACTCTTATATCCTTGATATATTAAAATCAGATATATGCTCATGATAAATGATTTAGGGTTCATTTTCAAATACGCGAGATTTTCATATGCATGGATTCTGGATTTATTATATTTCAGGTTCGGCGAGGTTCGGTTTTGTTCAATTTCAAACCGCATAGTAATAATATAATATCACGACATTAGATTGGTGTTAGTCTCAGATTAATATGTACTATTTAGCGTAACCCAATCAAACTAATTCATGTAGTAACTGGTTTGGTTCGTTCATAGTCCCATCATCAGCAATTAGCAAATACTTCGACTAATCCTGCGGCGCATGACATCATCTTATCTCTCTATATTTATTTATTTATTTATTTTAGGGCAATTTAAACAATAATTACAAATTCAAGGTATCATGTTGTACAAGCTTTCTCTGTCATAAGTTTTTTTTTTTGGTCAACAACTATGTCATAAGTATGTCCATCACTTTCTTAAGCTGTGAACATCATTCCTAAGGCTACCTCATAGTGCAACTGTTTATATTTTAGGTATTCAATCAGTACTCTTTCCTACAATTAATCATTCGAACCCAAAATCGTTTAGTTGTTTAAAATGACAAAAAAAAAAAAAAAAGAAGCTACTCGTGATATAAAGTTGAAAATGAAAGTGCAGATAATTAAACGTCTAAATAATTATGAATTTAGCAACTTTTTGTTATGGTTAATCATTTAAATAGTCTAATTTCAAAACACATTTCACGTATTATTTTTGTGATTCTTTCAACAAATGTAGCCCTAATTATGAACAAATGGATCCTTCTAAATTCTTAATAATATCCAATCGACAACAATATAGTCGTAGCATATAACTCATCCCATGCATTCACAACTTTTTTATCTTTTCAATCATTATATTTGTTTTATACAAACAATATTATCTACACTAAGAGAGGGGGGAGTGGTTAAGCCTCACAATGAACTAGCTATAATGTAGTTCAAATTCCTCAGTGGCGAAAATCGAACTTAAGATCTTTCATTTACAAGTAAAAAGGAATATATTAAACCGTAATACGAAGTGGCTTCAATCATTATATGTTAGGTTTTATATTAGTCATAGTGCAAATTACAAAATGAGAAAAATTAGGAGATGCAAAGTGGGTGGGGAAAGGTCATGATCATGATGATTCAGGATCACAAGTCCTCAATCAGTCGGAGAGTGATTCTCGGATCATTATTGAATCCAAACAAATATAACATTTGGCTTCGACTGCCCCATTGACAACACGCCTAATTGGATGGATGATCATATATACATATAACATTGTTGGTATATAATTTAAGGACGGCAGAAGTTGGACCCAGAATTTGGTGGTCCTCCGACGTCAAAGATTAAATTTGTTGGTGTTTTCTGGTTCGAAAAATAAAAACTCTAGACAAAAACTTACTAGCCCGTGAGCCTTGAAAATGGCACCAGCTTAGCAATCTCGATCGTTGTCTGCAGAATAGGACCAGGACTTGGCCTTTGAGTTTAATTGTAGTATTCTTTCACTAGTTTTAACTTCTAGGTTTAGAGTGTTGTAATGAGTTTGTAGTTCAACTGGTTAGGAGCGTTTATTCATGCACCCGAAGTCTTGTGTTTGAATTCCAACTCCCCCAATATCACTATGTTTAGAAAGAAAAGAGTTTTGAGGAGTGTTATTTTCGCTCCCCAAGCACCTCTTACCCTTCCAAATTAGGGTTTTTCGTTGTTATTTATGAGATGGAATTTTCGACATAACAATTTAAATATATGACAATGTTATTTGCACTCAAATATATATTGGAGTGCACGAGAGCAAACTCCAGAAGGATTAATGCTTGTTTTCTCAGTTTAGGTTTTTAATTTTTGTTTATTAGTGGAGAGATTTGAATTTGTAACATCTTCCATTTATAAAAAAAATGAAATAAAATACTACGTACTCTACCAGATGTGGGAGGGCTCTAGGTTTAGGTTTAAGCATTTGAGAGAAGGATTATTGAACTTGAGATCTTTTTCCACATTAGGAACATAAGTAGTAGCACGAAATCGAGAGCTAGTAATTGGTAAAAATATGAACAATAATGTACATAAAGTGCACCACATTAGGAACAGAAGTAGTAGCACGAAATCGAGAGCTAGTAATTGGTAAAAATAAGAACAACAATGTACATAAAGTGCACAAACTTTGGTTATAAAATTACTAGTAAAATCAAAACCTTAATGAGGGTAACACTACTACGTAACTATTCATTAGTGGTGGTCTTAAAAGCGATGGATATTAAGTAAAATCCAATAGGAATTGGTCATAAAGTTATTCCATCCAGCTATAATTGTTTTTAAGGATTCAAGTCCAATGAGAAAGATCATAGCCATAGCAGAAGCATATCATAGAATGGGTTTATTTATTTAAATCAAGAATTAAGAGGCATTGCACATGGTTAAAGCTCAATAATTAATATCTTAATTAACACATTATTTAAATTGGTTTCTTCTTCACGATGCAAAAACAACATATTTCCTGTATGAAGTTCTTATTACAGTATTTGATATTGCATGAATTACTGATCCCAACTTACTAGCGATTAGCCATGAGCCAAGCAACTCTACTCTCTAGACAATAGCTTATAGCTTTGTCTGTCCGAGTGAACGGTTGAGATTTAAATAACGTGCCGTAGAGAATTTCCATTCAAAAGCACATGCAATGCAATGGACTGGGTCAATATTTTTGTTTGGATTTTTGCCTTGGTAATTTGGAGGGTGTGTCAATTTGGTTCTTGTTGTTTCAAGAATTTGATCGCGGGCCCATGGACCTTCCCATGCTGTTGGGCAAGAACCCACATGGGACTTTCCCAATTTGTATTTTGTCCGCTTCTTCTCCGCATTTGCCAAGATTGCCAAGTTGAAATCTGCGTGGGTTTCTTTTATGTCATTCAACATTGGCGAGAAGCCAGGTTTAGGGGTAGCTGTCGGTCAAAATATAAAAGTTTATATGTTATTTCATTGATTTTCGATTGTGGTCCACTATGTTGAACTATTAGAGAGACGGGACGGGTCAAAACCTCACTTTTAACAAAATCAATATTGCCCCCAATTTAGTAATACCACATGCACAATCTGTCGGGGTTTTATCATAAAAGGCATGATGTATTAGTTGAAGTAGAGTTAGGACATTTAAATTCTTATTTTCTCATAGATACGGTTCAGATATTTCAATAATACTTGGCCAATAAGTCTAATTGTCTAAGTTCAATTATACAGTAGTATATTTCAATTTATAAACCATCTCTTTTTCTTAATTCTTACACCTTTATTCTCATCGCATCCTGTACATATTTGATACAAGTTTGACTTTTTTTTAATTACATGTATTTATTTAATGATATAAAATATAATATTAAGTTCTTTTGTTTATAAAGATTTAAATCTTTAGCTCACTCGGTGAAAAATTATTGGCTCTATCCTTGTCATTCAAGACTCGCAGCTATTGAGCAAGGTAATTACTGCCTTAGTGAATAGTAACTATCTCGAGTGCATCTCCATCCCGTAAATAAATTGGCTAGGCTCAGCCTACTCCCTCACCGTTTTAGTGTCCATAATATCATTTGTCAAAAAAAAAACAAAACAAAACAAAACACAAAAAAAACAACAATATCAAGTCATCCGAAGAGTAATTTGAATCCCTTTTTGGGCCATGAATTGAGAAAATAAACTTCTTTCAATCTGTATTTGGGCCTCCAAACTAAAATTCACTAGATTCTAGTCCAGTCCAAATATTCCTTAACTAAATCTTTGGTTGGTTCCTAAATCCCAACCGTCCAACCCAACGGCCTAACCATCTCACACGCACACACGGACATTCAACCATGGAGGCAGCACCACCACCACCACCGCAGCGCCACCTCCACAGCCACCAATGCTCGGCCGCTTAGTAGCTCTAGATACGACCGTTTCCCAACATCTCTACGTCCTCGCCAAACCCTTCCTCCCCCACTCCCTTCTCCTCCTCCTCGAACTCTCAGCCGACTTCCGCTTCTTCTTCCCTCTCTCCCTCTCCCTCCTCCTTGCCCCGATCCCAGACCCAAGCCCAACCCAAATCCTCTGCCCACTCCTCTCCCCACTCATCTTCGGCCTCCTCCTCGACCTCGCCGTCGTCGGCCTAATCAAACTCCTCTTTCGCCGCTCCCGCCCTCTCTACAACAAGAAGATGAGCGTCGCCGTTTCGGTAGACCACTTCTCCTTCCCCAGCGGACACTCCTCTCCGGTTTGCTTCGTCGCCTCCCTCTTGCACCTCTCCGCTGCCGCCCTTACCGATGCCCTCGCCAACCTACGGTCAGCGTCTCCCTTCGTTGATCGTTGGATCGGCGCGGACGAGGTCAATGCCGTGAGGATTTTGGTCTCGGTTGCTTGGGCCTGGGCCGTCGGCACCTCCGTCTCTAGGGTTTTGCTGGGTAGGCATTTCGTCACCGAAGTTTTCACCGGGGCGTGTTTGGGCGTGCTTGAGGCTCTGGTTTCGTTTCACTTGCTGAGGTTCTAAGGTATGAATTGTTTAGCACTGAAAATTGAACTGCTAATTATCGTTTATGCATTGATTTCTGAGTTGATCATGCTATAATTTTGGAGGTACTAGTTAACAATGTTGGGTACAATCACAGAGAATTTTAGTGAATTGTGTTATTAGGAGTGACCAAAATTGTGGCAGTGTCGATGATCGAGGAATCGAATGTTGAATTATTACCACTAACCTTACGAATGCAGAAACTTATAACGATATACGACTAGGAATTAAGCAAAAAATTTGGTTAATAGCTATTGTGAGGCAATCTCATCACAAGTCCATTTGATGGCTTGTTGGCTTCCGGCGTGGTTTTGAGGGCAATGGTAATACTAGTGGGAAGGACAGAATTAGAGTGCTTGACAATGGTGATAGTTGCAAGCACGGTGATATGAGGGCATTTCTACTTCTATAGTGTACTACCTTATTCATTTCCCCAATATACTTTTCAATGTGCTTTAGAAATAATATAAATTGGAAAGTGTGATTTAGGTCAACAAAGAATTTCACGGTTAATGGTCATTTAATGATCTAGCATAGGTCCATTGTTACTACTTTTAGTTTTCAGCTTTGCAAAAAAATGAAACTGAAAACTCAACTTTTGGTTTTGAGTTTTTTTTTTTTTAATTTTTTTTTAAAATCTAAACGTAGTTACCAAATAATGTTTCAGTTTTCAGTTTTCAAAAAAGTGGAAACGGAATGGTTATCAAACGATTTCAAATTTTTAATTGTATTTGGATCAATGGGGGAGGGGGGAAATGGAACTTGTGACCTTCCAACAGTTGGGAAGAGAAATACCACTAGAACAAGAGCAAGTTGGTGGATTTGGAGTTCTGCCTTTGTTGTTGGACAAGCATTAATCTGAAGAGCTATAAACAGCCTCTGTTCAATAAAGATTGAGAGCTAATACTTAATGATTATGAATGGAATACTTGATAAATATTTATTGATGGAATGAGGGGAAATTTAGCGGAGTTCTGTAGCTGATTCATAATGTGATATAGTGGAAAAAATGATTTAGGAATTCTGGACAGCAGTTGCCCAGTCTATAGGATGTGAAAGGTAAACATTTAAAGGTGGAAAAAAGTACGTAGGAATGTAGATTACAGATGGGGTGCGGTAATTTCTGTTCAGGTCATAGTGATTGGACTGCAAAACTTGCGAAAGGCAAGTACAAACTGTGGTTTTCTTATGCTTAAACAATTGTTATTTAGATCAGTGAAACGAACACCAAACAAATTTAGTTTCATACTACTACCAGCTGGTATTCCATCTTTGAACTGCATCAGTCTTGCCAAGTGTTTTGTAGTAGTGGGCATGCTTTACACTGATTCGTACGGTCGTACCAGGTGCCAATCAGTTATCTCTCTTTCTCTGGCTGAAAATGAGTATTTTGTTCCACACCGTTAGGACTTTACATGTTGTATTTAAAGTAGGGTCTTTATCATCCAATGTCTGATGGGGATGACTTCTGACTGGAGGATAGCTTCCGACTGTAAATTGAAGGACGGTTCCAGACTGGAGCAACCTGCTGCCGTCGGAAAGTCTCTTTTCTCTAACGATGGTTCTGGGTCAAACACGTGGTGAAAATAAATTTCTCAAGATCTGGGATACTTCTTTTCATTTCTGATGACCCCTGTTGAATATGGAACTGATTATTTTCTATGCTGCATGGCTGGATTGTTCTTCCATATAACGTCGTTTTGATTATGGGAAGCAGATGAAAGTAAAGATATCCTTGCGAAGTATAAAGAAACTCTCAAGGGGAAGTAGCATCCAGATTTAATGAGAATTTTATTGAATTCAGCTGGTGAAAGAGATGCTGGAAAATTCTGTGCTTCTTCAGTGGTACCTTCCATGCTCCACTGGCTTCCATTTATTCTTTCACTTGATTTATTGAGTAGCGTGTTTCTCCAAATGTAATAAGATCTGTATATTTTTGTGATGCAACTACATTGGAATTCAGAGTTATGTGAGAATGATTTTTGTGAAGAAAAACACGTCTAGTACCAAATGTAATGTGTGTGTGTGTGTGTTTGGTAATAATGGTGGCGATGATGGTTGGGGTGGTGGTTAAGATGAAAAAAGTGTTGGTAGCAACGGTGGTTGGAGTAGTGATGACGGTAGAGGTGTTAGTAGTGGTTGGATATGGGTGGTGCCAATTAACAATAGTTGTGAAAATGGTGGTTGTGAGGAGGGGATGATGGTGGCCGTGGTGAGGGTAATGGGGTGGAGAATGTGGTGATGGTGGTGGGAGGTGGTGATGGCCATGGTGGCAGGGGTGATGGTGGTTGTTGTGGTGGTGCTAGTGGTGGTGGCAATGGTGGCGGTGGAGGTGGTGGTGGTGGTCCATGGTGAGACGGTAGAGTTGGAGGTGGCCATGGTGGCAAGTGTGATGGCGATGGAGAAAATGGTTGTGGCGACGATGGGGGTGAGAGGTGGTGGTGTCAAAGATGGTGGTGGTGGTGACGATGATGGTGAGACAATGGTGGTGGTGGTGGTAATGGTAATGGTAGTGGTGGTAATGGTAATGGTGGGAGTGGCATACATAATTTTATTTATTTTTCTTAAAACTCTAGCTTTGTTTTATAATGTATATTTTATTTTTTGTTATTTTGAAAGCTGTTATTGAAAAACAGAGAAAACATCAATTTGATGTTCTACATAACTTAGGCTAAATACAATGTTTTGCATTTTTTCGTTTTTCGAGTTTTGTTTTCACTAAACAGTATGTCGAACACATTTATCACCTATTTTCTATCTGCAAGATGAAAATTTGTTTTACAAAATGTTAACAAACATAAACTCTTATAATTTTTTTGATAAGCTTTTTTCGATCAACGGATTGATTGATTGACTGTTATTCGTTTCTTTGAGCAAGACATAGAAACTCGAGAAATAGGTGTTGAATACTATTAACACCGCTTGGGTTCTTACTCGTAAAGACTCATTCCTCAATCCTTATTACATGAAAGTCATAGCTTCACGCATAACTCGTTATAAGTAATAAAAAATAAAAAATAAAAAGTTCCAACACTTAATCTAAGTGGTAATTTGTCCGTATGGAGAAGTTCCTCTTTACGTCTAGAGCCAAGTAATTTTTTTTAACTATTATGCCATAATTTGGTGATTCCATCATTGCAATTGTATTATCAATACCACTGACAATATGAATACTGCTTGGCTCCTTGAATCTCTATTACCTGTAAACTATAGCTTTATACTTAAGATATAGCTTGTTATAAGTACAAAAAGAAAAGTGAGTGTTAAACATTGATTTGTCAGTAGGGATGTAACATCCCATATCGTCCAGAGGAGTGGATCTTGTAAGCCTTATATGTATATTCCTATTTCTACCTAGCACGAGGCCTTTTGGGAGCTCACTGACTTCGAAGTTCCATACCAAACTGATACACCCCGACTTAAATCGAGGCGTGCTGGCCGTCACGTGAGAATGACGTAATCATGTGCATAGTGCAGAAGTGATAAGGATATAAAAATGTGAGTAATTAAAAACCAAGTTAACTAATTTACACTAAAGAAATATAAGTGCAAGCATGGTGTTTAGGTGTAATTACACATAATCAGAGCATAAGTAGCCTAAGTGCAGTCCAACAAGACAAATGCTAATCACACAATACCAAAGGTAGTCCTACAATAGTGATAATCTATCAGAACCGCCAACGATTCCTCGTGAGCCATCAACAAGCACTCCTAACTAGAACCTGGAGGGGCGCAAAACAAAAAGTGTGAGTGGGCAAAAACCAAGCTTTTCAAAACCGTTCACTTTAAAAAATAATAACCCCTCGCCGTAAAACCTGTATAATTCCCAGAAAATAGCAGGCATGTCTATATCTCAAAACCATATTCAAAATAAAAATTCCACAAATATACGATGTCAAATCTCAGCAAGAAATAAGAATAAGTAAGCCAAGTGAAATAAACCAATATGAAATAGAATGCCAGTCGGAGTCACCTAATGTGACATGTACGACTGAGTCCATAACTCATCAATCAAATCCTGCACAAGAGTTGGAACCCCCTAATGTGGTATATACGACATGCTAGGTGTAAATAAATATGCTCAAGTGCTACGATCACATGAAGGTTGTGCGAAGTATCGCAAGTCATCTACGAATCGGAACCACCTAATGTGGTATGTACAACAGGCTGACACCTGCCTTGGATCCAAGGTGAGCGTGTGGTGCAGGAAGGGAACGATCATGTGAAGGCTAGGCCCTGTCCTCGAGGGGAGCACTAACACCAGGGTGCAGGATAATAAGCTCTAAATACATCTCAACACAATTATACTCACTACCATCACTACCATCAATATACTCACCTGAAGCTTACCTGGCGTCCGCATCATCAAACAACAATATATATACCCATACTAATTTATAATCAAACATAGAGAGTATTTGACATGGATTTCAAAATATAAAACCATTTAATTAAGTTTCTGGGAAAAAATACCAAGTATGTATATATATATATATATATATATATACTAAAAACCAAAATCCCACTCACTGATATGTGGAAGGGTCGTAGCCCCCAAGTCTCGCTTGATTGCACTCTTCCTCTAGATATGTCTCACCTATATGCAAAACAACTACCTAAACATTATTTTAAGCACATAACCAAAATTAGGTAATAACTTCTCATACGTTGCTTAATTGAGGTATTTAAATATACCATTGTGACCTACTTAACCCCATGAACATCCCCATATTTTAGAAAAAAATTTCTATGTCCCATGCGCCCTCACGTGTCGACCAAGGCACGGCCACACGCAGGCACGTGCTTGGCACGCTGGATGGAATCAAATTGTCACATCCCAGCCAAGGCCCCCACCACATCCCAGGCTCGACTCTGCTTTAGCACGATATTGTTCCATTTGGGCCCCGACCATGCCCTCACGGTTTTGTTTTTGGGAACTCACAAGAGAACTTCCCAGTGGGTCACTCATTCTGGGAATGCTCTCGCACGAACTCGCTTAACTTCGAAGTTCCCATGGAACCTGAAGCTAGTGAGCTACCAAAAGGCATCGTGCTAGGTAGAGATGAGAATATACATATAAGGCTTACAAGATCCACTCCCCTGGGCGATATGGGATGTTACAATCCACTCCCCTTAGGGGCTCGACGTCCTCGTCGGCACACATCCGGCCATGGATTGGCACTGATACCAGATTGTTGTATCCTGGCCTGGGCCCCCACTACATCCTGAGCTCGACTCTGCCATAGCACGATATTGTCTGCTTTGGGTCCTGACCATGCCCTCACAGTTTTGTTTCTGGGAATTCACACGAGAACTTCCTAGTGGGTCACCCATCATGGGATTGCTCTCGCGCGAACTAGCTTGGAAACCGAAGCCAGTAAGCTCCCAAAATGCCTCGTGCTAGGTAGATATGAGAATATATATATATATATATTGTATATATATAGCTTACAAGATCTACTCCCTTGGACGTGTGATGTTACAAGGGAGAAGACTGAGAAGTGACTCTTTATGTCTAAGAAACCAAGTATTTGTCGATTATTATTGTCATAACTTGGTGAATGCATCATTGCAGTTGTATGCATCAGCATGGAAATGGTGGAAAGCATCTTTACAAGAAGTGTTTGAATACTCCACCACTTTTTGTTGATTTGGAAGGATGTCGTATTTGAAGGGGCACAAAACCCATTTTTGTTGGTCTACTTCCCAGTGTTGTAAAAGAGCAGATGCTTGTTGAAGATGGCATTCAATTGATGATTGTCCTATCCTTTTGTTTTACGTCCCTTCCTAGAGTTGGAGGGCCCCTTGTCCTAAATGCCTAGTTGATTGAACTGATTTTGGGCACCACTTGAGAGAGAGAGAGAGAGAGAGAGAGAGAGGGGGGGGGGGGGGGTGGGTCCTACCATTTGATATTAATCATTGAAATCAAGGGCTTTTTCCTGAGAGATCATCAGATTGTTCTGTGTACAAAGTGGAAATGTGGTTGGATCTTTTCAGTTTGTGGGTCACCTGCTGCATGTGTTCATTTCGTTTTTTCTTTTCCATGATTGTAGTTTGAATCCACACACAGCGGCTTTCCTTTTTTCTTTTTTTTTTTAAATTTTTTTAATTTGTGATAAAAACTAGGGTTGACACAATCTAGTTTGACCTGGTTCCACTCTTATATCGAAATTGAAAATGAAAAAATCAATGGTTCAGTTCGGTACATTTTTATTTAAATTTATTACTGAAATCGTACGGTTTGATTTAAACCGGTTTCTATTTGGTTTATGCATATTTACGATTGTAACCAAAATTATATATATAAGTTGTTCAATCTCCTACTTCCAATTACCGAATACATATATCAACCACAAATTCAAATAAATTTGAGTTCCCACTGCTAGATATACAATATTTGTGACCGGAAGATTAAAAGTTTACATATCTGAACTCCATATTAAAAAAGCCCTCTTTGTTAATCAAAAGAGGTGAAAAGAAATTTTTATCTTCTATAATAATAATAATAATGAAATCCTCTTTATCAACCAAAAGAGGTGAAAAAACTTTTTTTATCTTCTATCACAATAAAAAAAAGTTAAGGACAGCAACATAACTTTACAAAATAGAATTTTGCTTTTTTTTGTTTAAGCCTCACCTACATATGATTTTATCATCTCTAATTTTCAAAAAATGAAAAAATAAAAAATAAACTTCTCTGTACTCTCCCCTCTCCCACGTTCTATTTCTCTCTTCCTCTATCCTTCAATTTTAAAAACAAAAATGAAAAATTTCACACACATTGTGTGTGGGCATATACTAATATAAATCAAAAGATAAAAAGCTTCAGATTAAGACCAAAGTGTACATACCAAAATGAAATTATAGTGTACATAATGCATAAAGATGAATGAGGAAAAGAAGAGATGAGAGGGAGCGATGGAAATTGGAATGTGAGATAATGGCTATAGTTTAATGGATGAGGTGAGGTAATTACCAAGGGTTTGGCTTCTGGG